CCCTGTCCCCTAAACCCTACATCCCTGTCCCCTAAACCCTACATCCCTGTCCCCTAAACCCTACATCCCTGTCCCCTAAACCTTCACCCAGCATGCTGCACTTTCACTGTCTTCTAACCAGAATTGATTCTGAATGCAAGAACAAAGAATGTATGCCTGTTATGCAGCTGATAACTTTAAGGTGCAATAATACTAATGGGTGCTTTACTTTAGGGAATTTTTTAAAAATTATGTCACATTAGGGTTGTTAACGGTTGTGAAAACTTGCAAAGTGAATTTAATGAGTGAAAGAGCATTCACTGTAAAGTAAAAATGTGATTCTGTAAGAAGTACAGTCATGCGTTGTTAACGACAGGGATATGTTTTGAGAAATGTGTCATTGGGTGATTTTGTTGTTGTGCAAACCTCATAGAGTACTTACACAAACCTAGGTGGTATAGCCCAGTGGTTCTCGACCTTTTTTGTACCGCGACCCAGTTTTCACCATGCCAGCTCAGTCGCGACCCTATATCATGTATAGATTTAAATTAACGCTATGATGTGCCAGTGAATTTTAAATTAAATGTCTATGGTTTGGCTTCTTGGATTGGTTGAGTGCTCACTAGCTTTGCGCTAAGCGTTTGCAGACCCAAGACCCATTTGCAATTTGAGGGTTGGGGCTGGGAAATCTAATCGTGGATCAGCATAGGAGCTTGTTGGTTTTAAAATGCTTACATTTCCAACTCTGCCTTATCAAGTATTATGTACTGTACATAATTGTATGTACTATACTTGTATACAACTGGCAGTGCAGTAGGTTTGTTTACACGAGCATTACTGCACACATGAGTAATACATTAAACTAGGACGTTACGATGGGCACGACACCTATTAGGCGATTGGAATAATTCAGGTCCATTATACTGCAATCTTATGGGCCCACCGTCGCATATGCGGTCCGTTGTTGACCGAAACATCGTTATCTGGTGCATGACTGTACAATAAAAAAAAACGTTTGACACTGTTTCCTCTGCAGCACTCTCGATGCACTCGACTGGCCCTGTTTGCCTGCTGTAAGGGACTGAGAGTAGGGTAACTAATCTCTCTTTCCTCATTGTTCACTACTGCTTTCTGTTGTAATAAAACACCAGAACGGGCTCAGACTGGCATTTTCCTTTTTCTCCTCAGGAGAGGGGATTCTCCCATTGATCAATTAAGCCAATAAATGCGCTTAAAAAGTAATGCGTATTTGAGTTGTGTATTCTCCCCTCATCAGTGTGGACGCGCCCACCACACTTAACCCGAAAAAGAAGGTGCGGTAAGAAGTGTAATTACTTCATCGAGCAAATTGTGGAACATGGAGTATTTCACCAGGGGTGAATCTCAGTATGTGTACTTGATGGCACTCGTGTTCTTGTGTACCCGTTTTATGTCATCTTCCATTGCCGAAGACCAGCTCCAATACTAAGTACATGAGTATGGTAAAAATCCCCGGATGTTAGTTTTGCTCCCCCCAAATATCAAGGTATGTTCTTTGAAGGCAAGCTCGCAAGACCGGCTGTGCAGAGACCACAAGTACGGTATTTGCGTTCTTAGTATTTACCCATCGTGAACTGAACTGAAATCCATAGAAACCATTTTATTTTGGAAATGGAAGCATAGCAGTAGTCTACTACGCTTGTACAGACGCTCCTCTACTTCCAAATGAGATACGTTCCGAATGGCTGTTCGTAACTAGAAATGAAGTAATTTCTAGACAACTAGAAAGACATTGTTCAACATCATTTTAAGGGTATACGCAAGTACAAAGAACTAGGATGCTGGGAGTTCACACGCTACGCTCCTGCGCGGCGGGAGTAGTCGCCAGAAGTCATACTAGGCGGAATTGGCGCGCAGAAAAAAAAATGATGATGTGGACAGGAAATGAGAGCCCAATGAACACAATTTGGACTACAGTCCTCTTCGTTCGTATGTCTGAAAGTTCGTAAGTTGAAAGTTCATACGTAGAGGAGCGTCTCTATTTGGTCATTCTCACAAACGTGAATTCTTCAAGAAAACTACATCTTAAAGTGAAATGCAGTGTTTTAATTTTCTGCAGAGCAACTGAAATTACCTTATTAGATATATAAAAAAGTTATGCAATTTATAGTTCTGATTTAATGATCGCTTGCCATTTTTTTCAAATAGGCACTACTGTTTCAGTTTTAAAATCAGGTAATAGAAAACTAGATATGTTTTTTAATCTTTTACCTTTACTGTAAGTAACCCACAATAGACAATCAATTAGTATAGATGTACATTCCTCTCTTCTTTTGTTTTAAATTTTTAAACCAATTAACTACAACAAAATTGACATTTTGGGCAGTAATATAACGTGAGTCTGTTGTCAAACTAATGTTAAAAATTAGAGAAAATTGAAATGTTATGGTAATGAGTTCCTGAGAATGACCCATATTACATTTTAGAACTAATCCATTGCTGTTGTTAGGTCCCATCTCCCGGGGATATAGCCCCAAGTATTTGTGGACTGAAAAACGGCCTGTCTGCGGATGGAAAAAGGTGTTATAGCAAATCAACACAAAGACTGTGTAACTGTGCGCAACTTCACTTGCAACTGCCGAAGGAAGGGGGAGTAATGAAGCGCTACTGAATGCGCACAAAAGTTGGGCGTGGCGCACGCTTTAAAAACCTATGAAGCTTGCTGTATTAGGCACTTTCTCATCAAAGCTCCGGTGTTCTGTCAGATTTTCGTACCTTGTCAGAATTTCCTATCACAGCATATATTTATAGCTGCATCTGTTGGTTTTTGCTGCTCTATCAAACAGTCCTACCAGGGGTGTAGCCTAATTCCTACTAATTGGCTTACTTAGCAGAATGTCACGCAATAGTTCACTTTACAATTGTGATGTGCAAATGATGCTCCGTAGTTCTTAAACCATAGGAAGAATATCGATATAGGTATTTAACCTTTTTAGATATCAATTATAACACTTTACTGGCCATAAAACACAGGTAGCATATTCTGATATCCTGAATTCACCCATCAGCACATAGTACCATCAGTAATTAATCTGTTTAGATATTAATTATTGTTATTATTATTATCCCTTTGCTTTTTCAATGGGTCAATTATCGCATGCCACAGGACAGGCTAGGTTTCCATTCCCGTGTAAATCGTTTTGGAAAAAACATCTGCCAAATGTATTAATAATGAGCTCATCCCAAATCCATCACAATATTTTAGTGTAAATATATAATGACTGAAATATGAGTAAAGAAAGAAACATGATTTTGTTGGTTTATATTTAACATAACACAGTCATCCCATGTTGTTATACCAGCCAGATTAATCATTCAAAGCAAACACACATAGACCTTATTCTCAGATTGTTCAAAGTGTTTCCAAAACTCACTATGGGTCTCTTTATGTTTGATTAAAAAAAGGTTCCTAGCCTTGGAGCACGTTTCGACACATTATGGCGAATGCTTTGAAAGCCCAGGAACTTTCATCAGCCCATGACTACCAGATCCACTGAGAGGCACATTCACTGACAGACATGAAGTCCACCGAGGGCCCGAAAATGACGTGAGATCCACTATAGGGCCCGGAAATTATGTCACTCCAGATCCACTATATGACGGATTTTTCATCTGCTACGTTTTAATTAATAATGTGCACTATTTAAAAAGTAATTTTTACATTTCTTGTTTGTGATGTTGTATGTATGGGAGCAGTACACCCAGACACAGGGGGAACAACAACCGGAGAAATGAAGGGACCAGGAGTGAACAAAGGCGACACTGAGGGATGGGGAGCAAACACAGGGGGCACAAAACTAGGGGGCAAGGAGGTGAAGTGCTGGGGGAACTGAGGAGCCGAAGGGAACCCCGGCGGACTGAAGGCGGGAGCCGCAGAGGCAGTGGGTGACTGCGAGGCCGGAGCAGGAGGGACCCGCGGCAACCGCGAGGCATGAGCCGGAGGGAACGCCGAAGGAGGTGAGGAGGAAGGTGGAGGGACAGTTGGAGGAGGAGAGGAGGGAGGCTAGGGGACACTGGCGGAGGGGAGGAATGAACAGAAGCCGTGACAGGCGAAGGCAACGCAACAGCTGGCAAAGGCACAGGTGATCAATGAGTTGGACCTGGGGGACCTGCAGGCAACCAACGATGCATCGGAGGTGGGACTGCAGCCGGCCAACAAGGTACTGCAAATGGGACCACAGGCGATCGCTGAGCCAGAGCCAGGGGGACCGCAGGCAACCACCGAGCCGGAGCCAGAGGACCCGCAGGCAACCCAAATACACAAAGGACAAGGTGGGCGGGACCTGATCCTGGCGCAGGTGTCCTCTCCCTCTCCAGGACACCAAGGGGCGAGGTCCCGGCCGGGATCTGCCTCAGAGTGGGAGGGGAGGCATTACTCCAGAAGGAGTCACAGGGGAAATCAGGGTGATCCCACTAAGGGAGGAGGAGCGATGGTCCGACAGTCGGGGACCTCTTTGGGGATAGGGGCCGGTGGCATGGGAGCAGGAACCAGGGAAATAGGGATCTCCTCGGGGATTGGAACCTGGGGCACGGGAGCAGGGTCCGGGGGATCAGGGACCTCCTTGGGGATGGGGGCACGGGAGCAGGGTCCAGGGAATCTGGGGCAGGAACCATGGGGGGCGGAGCAGGAACCACAGGGGGCAGAGCTGGGGTTTGCACCTCGGCAGCGTGCACGACCTTTTTAGGGAACTTGGGGGACCACGGAATGGCATCTCCAAGCGCCCTGGCATCCCCAAGCGCCCTGGCACCCTTCCATGCCAAGCACTTACCCTGGAAAGCGGCGGCAGCTTTGGGTGCATGCTTGTGCGAAGATTGAGTGACAGCCAGATTGAGGATTGGGAGGGGCTCCTCCCGACACGCAGCAGGGCAGGCAGCAAAGACCGAAACGGCTCCCAGGAGGACCTCTTTGACTTTTCTGTTTCTTCTTGCCTACCTTTTCTGGAAGA